GGCATCTTAGACACAATAAGTACAGTGGAAGAAGCTAAATACTTACTACAAAAATTGTCGGACAACGCTATTTTTATTACGTGTAACTCGTCAATGATCGAAAACCGTTTGCAAGAACATGAAGCCTTACTAAAAGAAGCCCAACATGAAAGTGGCATACAACAACAAATTTTGCAATTTTTTTTGGCAAACAGCAATAATGAACAAATTTTGGATTTGTTTGATTCTCTAAATATGGATGACAAGCTTCGCTTAAATAATTTAAATCGCAGCTGGTCGCAAAAGTCTCTAATCAGCAACGGAACTTATGATATTCCTCGCGAAGAACCATCCTTTATCGAAGAGCAAGTGCCGGAAACAAGATGTTCGCCACCCATCACAGATGTTGAAAAGTAAGAGCTAGTTGTTAATAACCCTTCACTTAGAATTAATTATAAGTTTTTATCCAAATGATATATATTTTTAAAATCGATGCCTAGATTATTATCGCCAGCCGTATTTACAGCCAGGGAACGTCGATAACATTAGGAAATATTTGGTTCTAGCTTTTATTCGGGGTTTCGCTAGCAACACAGACAGTAGATTAAATCTGTTTGTCAGTCCGTCTGTCTGTTTTATATAGATTAGGGGGTTTAAAAATCAATTATTAAATAAAACCATACTATACATTATTTTTTATTTATTAGATTGTAGTGAAATTGGGCCCGAGGGATCGCTACGGGTCGCCGAGCGGAACTAAATGTTTGTAGTAGGCGGGGGACAGCAACAGCAGTCAATACACCGAGCAAGATTATTAAATAGCGACAGCGACTAATTTGGCCAGGTAGTCCACAAGTGTCCGATTAAAACATTCAACCATCCCAACCGATCGGGGAAGACTTCAGAGGGTCTATCCGCTGTTGGCAAGCGGAAGGTTGTTCCCGATCCGACGAAGTATTGGGATACACGGATCTCACAAGGACGGACCACTAGGAAGAACTGCATTGACATCTTCTGCTCCCAGGGTTTGTGCGTATTTTTGTTTTTCCTGTTGGTTGTACTCACGTCGAGACGGACATCTCAACACCCTGTTGCTGGTAGTCCTGGTTCATGTTTCTATGGGCAAATTACTAACTGCCAAGCGGCTGTCCAAACTGGTTCTGCCATATCCTGGAGCCGCCTTGTACATAAGTTTCCTTTAAGTTAATCTCTAGTATATCCCCTACACATAGATATACGATAGATATATGCTCTCGAAAGCCCTGCTGCGTCTTCGCTCGCTCCAAGTCCAGGTCGATGGGCTTTATAATCAGGTCGCCCGCTAATTCGTCCGCTTTCTCCCTAGCTTAGGACTCTTAAGTCTTCTTCTCCTATCTTCTATTGTCGAATGCTTAAACAAGCTTGTCCGCGATGTCCTCGGCAGTCATGGAAAAGTTGTGTTGGCATACTAATACCAGTGTCCCTAGGGTGGGCAGCAAATCTCGCCTCCAGAGTTTATTCTTGTGGCTTTGTCTCTTCGAAGCACGTTGAGTATTACTTAAAGCACCCAATCCCGTCGTCACCTCCGCGTACAGAGCACCCAGTAGATTATGTCTGTGCTCGCTGACGGCGCACAGGTTTTAGGAAACCTGTTCTTCCTCGGCCGGTCGGACCCTGTCGCGGTAGCTGCAATCATGGACAGGTTAACCGTGTCGTTCATTGCTGCTATCTCCTCTCCGTGTTAATGCACCGGATATCCAACTGGGTTCATGAAGAGATTTCAATCACGTGCGACGGCAGCATCTAGTGGCTTCCAGCTGCAACCTGGTTAGGTTGTGTATAGGTCAGTAGAGTCCTTCTCGGTATCTACGCAGTCGGTGGGATCACTCGTTGACCTACGGTGTTTTTGCTGTCCTGCTCGGTTTTACGAACTCGCCGTGTTGAGTGAAGTTCTCTTTGTTATCCTTCGAGGGATCGTTGGGGACCCTATTGCTGAGTCACGTGGGGTCACTTAGAGTATGACAATAAATCAAACAGGAAGTTAACTGCAGGTACGCTCGCACATTGAATCTTTGCTTATATCCTGCAAAGGAAGGCACTACCCAAAATAAAGTTAATCAACATATTGGCCACGGGAACTAGTTGAATATTATTCTTGGAGAGTTTGCCTATTACGGAAAGCTTAGACCTTAAAGGTCTACACTGGTCTCTCTCTCGCTAAGTTGGAAATGTGCGTCACTTCCACGTCACTGTTGTGACTCTGTTACTCTGTCGCCGCTCTTTTGCTCTGTCTGTTTCTGAATGCCCCATGAGCTAAGGTCCGACCATATGACCATGGCCAAAGGGAAAGCCTACATGTTAACTTTTTTCTTGCTTGTGTGGAGGAAATATACCAAATCCGCCAATCTCGGAGGCATTATCCGGGCGCCAACTGTAAGGAAGTTTTCTTGGGCTTCACCCCAGCCCAGCTCGCTCTTTCCTGGGACACCTAGAGTAAAATGTATGGGTTGCTGAGATCCGGGTCAGAAGGTTGGTCGTGTCGTCGCTGGTACCAACCATCCCCAATGACCTACTGAGTATTCAGGGATTCCTTGTACTAGGTATCTACCGCATGGTTGAAAAATCGAGTGTGGGAGAGAAAGATAAAGAAAGGGGGACCAACCAATGCAGAGCGGAGAATCGACAGCCCAATGTACGTGTTAACTATGATCAAAGATCATTCGAGGGAAGGGAGTCAGGCCGAGTCTGCGACAGTGTCTGCGAGTCTGCCAGGTGGCCTCTGAGGGAACCTGCCGTTCGTCAGCAGACACAAGGGATAGACAGTTTAGCATGTATGCGCTCTCTGAGCATGAGTAGGTGCGCGAGGTTACCTTTTCGACCGTCAATTTTCTAAGAAACCTTAATTTGGCATGTTGACTTACATATACAATTTAAATAAATGTGTAATTCCAAACTCAACGACGCAACCAACTTAAGAAAATCAAGAGCCGTTAGACCACAAATAAAACGATAACACTTAAATATTATAAAGACAACACTTTGAATCGTAAATTTGAAAATAACATGTTTAAAAAAAAAGAATATTTTACTTTTTTTACATGATGCAAGCAAATTCGGAGTGCTCACGATTTTATTAGGTACAAATGAAGCTTACTCTACAATCAATCAATTATTCGAAACAGTATGCAATTCCTCGGATTACTAAAAATGTTTTGAATGTTAGTAATCAAGAAATTTTGTTGTTATTTTTTATTTATATTTCAATTTTAGTTGCCCTGATAAAAGCCCGAAAGTACGCGGACGTACAGCCCGGCGACATGATCTCCTTTTTGGAGAAACAGGCTTACCTAGCCAAGTACGTATTATATTATATGATTTATAAGACAAATATTGTAATTTGATTTGTATACGCAGACACTTAAACCACATCATCTTGACCAACTGAATGTAATTATGGCTAGTGGATCTGAGTCCTTCCAGTAAGATGGTTCTTAGAAATGTATTTGTATAAGTTTAAATACGAATGTTAAAATAACCTAACTTTATATAATAAAATAAATCATTGTACAAATGTATAAAAAGCGTTTCTTTGTAGAGATTGAGTAAATAAATACCGTCTCTGATTGCTACATTTCGGTGGTTCTTTTTATTGCAACCTACTTATATCACAGTATTTCGAACAACTTGAGGAGTGTTGAGGAGTTGTGGGAAACTTTACTAGAGGAATTATTTTCTAAATATTTAGAATTTACATATAGTAATTGGTGTTGGCAACCTTAACGTCATGTTCAATTCATATACTATGTTCAGGCTATCAATTAGTCAGATACTCCCGTCAATAACCGATTCGGTCTAGCCATGCCCGTCTGTCTGTCCTTCTATCTATATGTCTATCCATCCGTATGTATGAAGGTCAGAACCTATAAGAGCTCGAGACTTCAAATTTTGATCGCAGGTACTCCGTTTCCGGTAATCGACACATCCGTTTCCAAACAATTGATAAAAATCGATATTAAACTCTTATTTCAAATCTCTTTGGCTTTAGAATCCAGACCCAACGAAAATTAACATGTTTCACCATCATGTGAAATCAAATAAATAAATCAATTAGAACTACCCAATCGATAGCCAAACCTTCAATTCCCTTCACTCGTAAAAGAGAGCAGAATGTTCCTGTTCCTTTGCGTTGTTGCAAATTCGGTTTTGGTTTGTAAATGCTCCTATTCCGTATGAGGCCAAATTTCGGTAGAACCGTTCTTGTAAGTCTCAACTGTTGACCCAGATCATTCAACATATACCAGCATAACTTTTGGCAATTGTGGCAATCAATCCGTATATGGCTCTTCGTTTGTTTTGCCTCCAACATAGTCGTAGCAGGTGGAGCAGGAGGCACAGAGTACGTTTCTTAGCAAGTCTTTCGGAGGCAGGAGTGAAAACGAAAAGCAAATGTACCTTCGACCTGTCGGAAACCACCTCCTGACCCCGAAGGATTTTAGAACTCTCTTCGTCAGTGTAAAGGCAGCACTCAACTCCAGGCTGATCCAGCGGCGACCGCGATGTGGACCCCGAGGAGTCGACCGCGTTATTGAGGTGCACCCAAGCACCGTGCAGGAGGCACTCTTATGTGGGCAGTCCATTGTCCGGCGTTGTCACTCCGTTTCGCCACGTTAACATAAAATCGTTATATAATAATATTTGTAATGGTTTTGAAATCGAGCCTTTCGAAAGCCTTATTTTCAAGCACAAGTCAAAAATATCTAAAGCCTAACCTCAACTGAGTCAACCCCCAACAACCATACGCAAGCAATGACCACTGGGAGGTCGGAGCCCAGCGCATGCAGGAAAGCCTACTGTTCAAACCAAAAAGTAGACTGGCACTGTTATAATCTAGCTGAGCCAGTGACAGTAAAAGAGGCAAATGCTTTTACAGCCTATCTGCAAACTGTTTTCAGCCAAAATCAGAGGGAAATTCATCCCTGCCCAATTAAAAGAGATTAGGTTGGAAAAAACTTAAATATTTACAAAGTTTATTATATGAAATAACATTATATTACTTAATCAAACTTACGTGCTATTCCTACGTTGTTAAATCAATGGAAATTACTCTACCAGACGAGTTAAAGGGTTGCACAGTTGAAAGATTTTCAAAATCAATGGTGTCGGTTTGATTGATACCTGACTTTTCTGAACTTGCGGCACACCAGTCAGGAACAGTCACTATTCTTTTTGACAAATCACAATTTTCTTGATTATATGAATGTGAAAAATTATTTGATGGACTTAGCGCTTTTTCTGAGCTATTCGCTTTTGATTCAAGACTAAATGTGTTCAGTACTGAGTTAGTCTTATAATTGGAAAAAATGTAAACAGATTGCTTTAATGGCTTAAGCGAGTTATCGTCTGTTGATTGTGAATAACCAGCTAAGGAACTCCATTCACTTTCTCCTATATGATTGTTTTGCATGGCAGCAACTTCCTTATTATGTGATAAAGACATTATAGTAAGCGTATCTCTATTTTTAAATTTTGACCTATCACTTGACGGATCGTCATCATCGGACGAACACAAATCTATTGTGTCGACAACCACCTCGGTTGAGGGCGAAATTCTCCATTGGGAGTTAAGTGAAGTGTCGCGTGTTAGCCTAATATTAAGTTTAGTATTGGAAATAGGAAATTGATCTCCGATGTTGTCAGTCAGTTTTTTCAATCTGACCGAAATTGGACGGCACTTTTTAATCAAAGGAGAATTAAGAAACAAAAAGTTTTGCGTAATGTCCCTTCGTTGCAAAAACTGTCGTCGTGGAAAAGCATATATGTGTGAACTAAAATCTTGCATTTTTTTGAATGTAATGTGTATGTTGTTTGTACAATTTTTTTTTTCAAAAAGTTTATGCTTGCAACTTGATTTTAATAACAAGGGTGTGTAGCAAAACCGGTCCAAACGCTCTTGTCTTTCGAATACATATTCCATAGATATTGTCTGTTTTATTGACGACAGTAATTTTTGTCCAGCTGGAGATGATATTGGGATAAATGAACATCTGTTAAGTGAGGGTACAGCTCGATTTCTCCGTGCTGAAATGCGTCTATTTCTGCTTGAAGTCATCGTAACTAATTCTTCACTATATGAGTTAGTTCCCTGTGTTTTTTTTGAATTATTATAATTTGTTGCTTTAGATTGAAGACAAAAATTAAGAAGGAACGCATTTCTTAATTCAATGTTTTCATTTTTAGTATCAATTTTGCTGTCTGGTTCCGGAGAGTCGCATAAAATCACATCATCCTCCATATTACATATTTTTTCATGTTCCTGCAAATAAAACGACGTAAAAATTAAATTATGTGATAATGATCACATGACACAAATTCAGATTTTTGTCCTGCGACAAGGCAGGTTCATTGGAGCTGTAGTAAAATTGTTTTTCTAAGTGTAGATGAACTCCTCCGCGTGGGTGAACTTAGCAATTCTTCTCTGGACTGTAAAATGCAACATCCCATTATTTCGCATTGGTTTCAATGTTGACGGGTTGTTGGATTAATAACTGTCTTTAAAGTTAATAGATGTGTGAAATACTTCAGAACGAGGCCGAGTTTCGTACAGCCTGTAATGGTTCTGGAAGCCGTTCGAGCGTTTATAGTAACTGGAGCTGACCTTTGCGGAATTTTCTTCTTTAAGGCAAAAGTTCGTACCAGGCCGCCCATTTAGAGCTAGTCAAGGACGTATCCACTGCGTTAATTTTTGAGTGCCCAAAAACGATGAAACGATATTCGTGGGAAACCTAGCCAGATGTGGTCCGATTACGCAACAAACTTCGTTAAAGCGAAGAACGATCTGATCCATTTTAAACGTCTCCTGCCAAGCAATCCCTTCATGGAAATGATTCAGCAGTTCTGTCTCGCAGATGATATATATTTGGAAATTCGTCGTCTAGACTGATCTATTTGAGTTTATACTCAAACCATGTTAATATCACTTTATCAAGGATTGAAACGGATTTCAGATTTGATTGATTCCTCGGAATAAAACTAAGAACTTCTTTCTTATCTGGAATAGTCCAAAATTAGTCCGAGTCTTCTCGGCTGTCTTTCCTACTTTTCCTGATTTACTTTATTTCACTCATTTAAACCGATTAAAACAAGCTGTAACTCGTCGCCGTAAGGACATTCACGCTGAGGTGTAAGTACTTCTAACTCCCTCGTTAATTGCTTTTTCATAACTCCAACAGTATGAAAATAATCACTTCATTTAACATTAAGTTAACTAATCCGCAACCACAAATCTCAAATATATATATTTTTAGCATTGAATAATTCTTTTTGTTTTTCTTTTTTTACTGTTTATTGGAGATAATGCGGCTTGAAAGTATATAAAATATATACTAAAATAAAAGTTTATGAACTTACCAAAATTGCTTCCGTTGAATATAACTCGGCATCGCAATTATCGCAAAGATAAATATCGAACGGAGGTGGTTCGACCATCATATAGTGTGAATCCTCACCATGTACATCGGTTTTATTTTTGTGCAGCAGCAAACATTTTCTATTTTTATGTTGTCGATCATATGACTGCAATCAAGTAAATTGGTATAAAATTAACTCTCAAGCTTTTTATCGGAAAAATATATTTTTTAAATCATTGGCGCTGCCTATTCAAACACTAAATTGTATATCAGCAAGCACAGTAAATTAACAACAGGTCTTTTAGCACTTAGCTATCGGTATCGAGTAGCAATGAAAAGGTTTCGAACTCGATTCGGACTCGGTCGGAAATTTACCTGAATTTACTTTTCAAACCTGTGTGATAACAAAAAAAGTCTTCTTCATAAGATATTGGGTTGCTAACTGTAGGAGTTTAACCAAAAAGCAGAAAATTAAATATTGATGTTTCAAATTTCTTTAGTTTTAAATGGGAGAAAAAAGTACAGACAGTTGTTGGAAAAACAAATATACTCCAGAGCATAAAAAATGCAATGGTATTAAGTCTTCCGCTTTCCAAAGATAACTTTTCTTTTTGGTCCAAAGCATAATATTTTAATTGTTTGTCAACTTTAAAATGTTTAAATTAAAAAAAAAAACTTACCATGTTTTCGTTTCGAAATGTTACCAACAATTTGTTATTTCGTCTATCGTAAAGAGACGTAGTAGAATTGTAGTTGTTGATAAACCTCAAGCTTGCGTGCTCATATGCAGCTAAGTCATTGCAGAACCGTAATAAAAATAGACTTTTGTGAAATTGATAACAAATAACTACAATATCCTTCATTTTTTCCATCCAATTCTGCAAAAAAAAAAAAAAATGGTTAGGTAAAACCATGCAAACAACAAAAACAGATTAGATATAAACTTACCCCAACAAAATGTTTTGGTCTTTTTAGCGGAATGCCAAATGAAGCATTTTCTGGCCACCACTCAGGCTCGCTGCAGTCTATTTTTTTTGGTAAATTTATATGTCCCAACGAGCATTGTACCATAAACGGTATAAAGTTTTCTAGCTGAGATTCAGTAATTTTTTCCAGAGAAGTTGGATATCCATTTGCAAACAATAGAGGAAGGTTTGATATCATGTTTTGTTGCGATTTATCAGACTCGTCCATTGCCACTAAAAATAAATTGAAATAAATTCTAAAGCGAAATCATACACACATATATATTAATATATATAATAGCGGGTATACCCGGCCTTGCACGTAGTACGTATAAAATAAATTCTCTTAAAGATCTTTGAAAATGAGTTTGAAACCGATCGGACTGTGAACAACAAATTTTAATACAACCGTTTTACGCCAATTTACAACTGTTGCGGGCGAAATTTGCAAAATCGCTGTAACACGTATTCATTAAGTTCTTATGTAGAGCTTTGAAAATAAGTTTGAAGCAAATCCGACAAAATCTAAAAACAAAAATAATGTTGCCAGATTTAGATGCCAAATTAATCTAGAAGCCAAACCATGAATAGATAATTTCACTAGGGGCCTAAAAGAAAATGCAATCAAGGCCGATCAGCATCCCTAATACCAGCAGGAAAACTACTCTCAGAATTGTTAAGGGAAAAGCCTGGCTTTTAAGTAGTTGGGCAAACGTCAGTCCTAGTAACAGCGCCTAGCCTGAGTCAATGGATGTAGACCCATCTACATCCAGTAAACCCATTACCAAACGCCTTCCGGATCGAGTAAGCTTACCGCGAATTCCAGTAACACATCGCTTTCAGCGATGGTCAAACTGAGGAGCCATACAACAAGTCACCTGCCAGGGCCACTCATTGATCTCGCAGCTGAAAGCGAGCCCGAGTACGAAAGCAATTTTTTAGGTGAAGGTCCGTACTGCCATACATATGGCGTAAAGAAGCGGGGACGAACCCACCAAAAAGTAGGAAATAGACGCAATCTTAGCAGTAAAGAAAAGCTTCTTGAATATGTTAGAAGATAACAAAAAGGCGTTCGAAGACCTTAACGAGTCACTGCCAAATAACCGTATTAAGGCAGACCCCGAAAATTCAGCAAATCAGCAGTTTTTGTGGTAATTTCTGGGCCTAGCCTGCTATCATAGGTGTTATGTACAAGACTTTGCGACAATAGCAAAGCCACTCTCAGATATCTTAAAAGAGGAAAATGGGTCCATAAATAAAAAAAGTTCTAAAAAAGTTTCCAACGGGCTAAGCGAAGTTTGACGCAAAGCGTTTGAAAGGAAACATTTAAGCGTCGGACGACGTTTTGTTAATGACTACAAAAAGCCTGTTGACCTGACTACTGATGCGTCAGATTATGGCAATCGGGCAGTCTTCTTCAACTTACGAGCGTGAGTAACTTGCCATAGTTTGGGCCTAGAAAAAACTTTGTCCCTATCTTGATGGGGTGAGACATTAACGTATTCAAGGACCACCAGCTATTCACGTTTGCAGTTTGGGATGCGAATCCTAACGAGAAGATTAAGCGCTGGAACTCTTTCCATAGCACATCGAACGTCCTAGTTGTGGGACACTTTTCTCGAAATAGCAAGAAGCATTAAGAGCTCCAGAGAGGGATCGAGCAAACGACCGACCTTATCTTCCAGGCTATGGCGGAGTTCTTGAAAAGGTTCGGGAAAAGGTACTAGTAAAATCCAACAGGAGGCTAGAGAACAAGCTTACCCCCTTATGTTGAGAAGAAAAGGTTGAAGCTGATTTAGGGACAACGGTCTTTATTGAAGGGAGCGTGGTCCACAAGAAAAACGGGATGAGATTTACGTTTTTCACTCGAACTACATACTGGTTATAGACAGGGGTGTACTTGTATGGGATGGACGTAAAGCCAAAAACCTCTCCAATCACAGATCGATGGCGGACGAGAATCAATTCTAGGTCAATGCTGACCTAGAATCAATTTCTGCCAACCAACTCACAGATACGACTGTCACCAGAAAAATAAAGTTTATATGCAAGCAGCGGATGGCTCGAGCCGCAGGTTCTACATTCCAAACACAGCTGAACCACCTCAATCCGGTAACCTAGTAGATGATGGTGTCACAATCAACACCGACCGGCCGGCCACTGACACTATGATGGAGCCATCGAAACCCGAGTAGCCGGGACGAACATCGTCACATTTGATCGCTACGCGCTGGTAAACGACTTAAGATTCGTCAATTGCAATATTTTCCTAGTGTCAGCCTCCCTTATCTGCACCATCTAAGCGCGAAAAAGTTCAAGCGATAGCTAAAAAATCAAAGAAACCTGTAAATCAAGTATACTATTCTTAACACCAAAAAGTGATTTGCTGAAAAACGCGATTTCGATATGGATTTTATCGATTTCTTGGAAACGGGGAAGTTATCGATTATTGGAAACAAACTCGTACCGTACTCAAGTGTCTAGCCCTATAGGTTCTGAGATTCTTGCGTTCAACTTACTAACAGACTGACGGACATGATCGAAGATGCTCCCTTCTGCCTGTTACATACATTTGCAGAAGTACAGTACTCATTTACAATGGGTTCAACTACCTTCAGCCGACCGAACTGTTTGCCTGCCATCTCCTAATACGCCAGAGCCGTACCACGAATTAAGGTGACAGGAAATAATTAGACCAATCCTGAGCAGCTGCACCACCCTGTTCGTGGTTTTCTTACTCTACGTCATTTACCTTGTTAGGCGCCGTCTGAAGATCTGGTCGGTGCAACGTACCGAAAGGCGTAACCTGACATTCGGATGCGCGCGCTGATGGACGGTCACGGGACGCCACGTCAGCGTTCTTCCGTGACCGCTGCCTCAGACCATGGACTTCGCGGGATAGGTTTAAGTTATGATAAGTTCAGTACATATGATGTAGCTCACAGGCATTGATGCTTAATGACAATTTTAACAATTTTAATCTTCCTCTCTTAAGTTTAAACCTTTTGCACTTAGCCCACCTGGGGCAGGAAAACGCTATATATTTATATCCAACACTTTTAGTCCTAGGTATTTTTGGCAGATAGACTTTTGCGACTAAAAACCGAGTCGGAAACATTGCAACCACGCCCCCACAAATGGAAAATATGTTCAAATTATATTCAAAGGACTGCACGAAGCCAGTTTGATGCTGATCTAAGGTTAGGTTTGAAATCATATCACTTCAATAGCCAAGAATTACTTCGCCCATTCGCAACACTGATTTTACAAATTTTTAATGGCGCATAGCGCATACAAATTAGGTTATATTTTTCAAAGCCTATGCGATGTGCAATCGCTTTAAAAAAAAACATTACATTACACTACAAACATCCTGTCCAGAAAGATTGAAAATTAACTTTTAATAGGTTTCTATGGCTTGGAAACGGCGATGACAGCAGAAAGCACAAAGTGGCAGTCAGGCATCTTGTGTTTACTGCTCTAAAATTTGCGTTTACAATTTCTCGCACATTATTTTTTTTCAGAACCCAAGCAACACACCTTTTAAAGCTTATGCCCGCACCATAACAGAACAAACGACTGGGAATACTATTTGAACCACACATATGTTAATTAAACATTGAGACCACAAATATATGGTTTACACAGAAAGATTTAAAGAGATAGCATTCCTGTAGTTGGGATTAACTTGTTATGGGTGAGATATACATATTTACATGATGGATATATATTATCGCTTCTATTCACGTATTTGAAAAAATTAGTGTATGTACGTGTGACTTATTATTTAGTTCACGGCTACAAACCAAGCGTTCAATGTATAAAATTACTAAATATTAAAATGTATTGAAACTGCGAATTACGAAGACAATCTGTAGTTACGGTTCACAGCTGAAGAACCAAAATTTTATTTTTGACTATACCAATTGAATTTACTTTTGATGTTGTGAATATGCGCAAGGAATGAGTATTGCAGCACAATTGGAATGGTGGAAATGGAACAAAAAAACACAATAATGCAAAATGTTACTTCGATAATCGATAAAATTAATCTTATTTTCTACATGCAATTTAAATACAACATATATCAATCTGCAAGTACGTAACAATTGCGAAAAGCACGTCTTTGGGGAATATATTATTTTGTTGTTTTTTGCATTAAAAATTTTGAATATAGCGTTACACCAAAACAAAATGAGAATGAAACAAATCTGTTCTGTTTTTTGTGCATATGTCTTAGGTTTTAGAAGCTAGAGTCACTACGTAGCGCGAGTTACTGGCAGCGTATAGTTTTAACAGATTAAATATATTTAGCTTTTTGAATTACGCCTGCTCCCCTCCACTATCCATATTGCACTAAATATTTTGTCATTTTGCGAAGAAATGCATATTATGTGGCAATAAAATCTACTGCAGAAAAATTTTTCAAGATTGGCAAGCATACATTCATATGCGTGTATATTTTAAATTGTATAGATATAATTTTAATCGCGATTGTATCGTATAATGTGTTAAGTTTATGTGCTATTACTTTAACATAGCTTTATTTCTGTTAGTGGTTGCGTGGTATTTAATTCGATTGGCTGCAGGTAGTTGCAAGTTAAGGTTTAGCAGCGAGACAAAAATAACTTAATAATAATATAGTATATCCATTTACCATCAAATGGGTAATAATAATATAAAGAATTGAAGACAGATTATAATTTGAGAATTTCCGTTATACTTATCGATTAGTATTGTTTTTTGCGCGCTTTACGATATAATATTTTATAAATAAAAACAAGCCATGAGAGAAAACAGAACCCATCCTTGACAGATTTTACAAGACCCCCTCAAAGTTAAAAGGTAGTTTCATTACCAGCGATTGCTTTGCCAACTTTGTTCGCAACACCAACAGATATTCGGCCATAAAGAGTTAGCCAAGAGTGAATTAATTGGAGTTGCGCAAGCTCTTGAACAAATTTCATTGATTCTAGTTCCATTTTGAACTCGTATTGTCCAAAGTGAGATTATGCGATCCTGTGGTCATGGGAGCTATATCACTTCCTTACTGCCTCATTCACAAATCTTTGTTGCGAGTTCCCAACGACTTCTCATTAGAATGCACTTCAACTTCAAGTCCAGTCCCCTTATTCACTTTAGATATAACTAAGGGAAATATGTGGACCCTTTTTTGCCTTAGCACATTTGGAAATCACCTTAGACTCAACCACTGAGAAGTTTCTGGCCGTTATTGTTAGTTTCGTAACCGGAAACGGTGTCCACAAAGCATTAGGAGCATTACGGCCATGCAAACAACGTAGGAAGAAGAAATCCGAAACAGGCCTGAGGATCCTCAGTTGACCGAGCATCTGCAAATCCCGATCCCTGGGTTAACTGTCACGTGTGACATCCCAGTGGACGGAGCCCGCTGAGCAGCAGTGATCGACCCTGAGACAGGGTGGACCCCCGCTAATTTCGGTAGCGTTCCCTATGCTCCTAGTTTGAGCCCTCAGTTGGATGCTTAGCCACTTACAAAGATTCCTGAACAAGTCTGGAAATAGGGTAAGGGGTGTGATGGCTAATCCGACCTCCTTGGATCCCTGGAGGACTTCAAAGACCGGGCGATGAGCGAGGTATTCTGCGACAGGGCTGCTCGTTGGTTCCTGAGTAGTGGGCTGAGGTTGCATTTTTGGAATTCTTCTTGCCATCGCGCTATTCTTGCTTTCTACTGTCGGTTGCCGACCAGGTACTCCCGCTTCCTGACGACAGTGGCCTTCTTTCGGCTTCTCGCTTATCCCAGGCCCCTTGGCCGGTACCACTACCGTCCTTAGGACCAATTCGGCTATGCCAAAGCGCTTTGTGGTTCCCAATGCACACAGGAAATCCATCCCTTTGATGACGTGGTTTATCATGGAGGGAATGATAAGCATGCTGATCACTTTCCCAGCTAGGCCAACATCTAACCCCATGGCCTTTACTTACTACTTCCAGCGTGTATCCATCTTGCAGACGAATGCGAGTCTGCACATCCTGCGCCCTCCCCCGAATCGTCCGCTATCGTACGCAATCGTCACTAATGATTCTGCACATGATCACAACTAGCTTTGCACATTGCGGAGCATAAGATCTGGTTGAAAGATGACAACTGATCCAGGCAGTGAATTTGAGGGAGGTATTCCGTGGAAGCAACAGGAAGAGATGTTGCGTTAGTTTAGGGACAGCTTGACTACTGCCCCTGTGTTGGCTTGTCAGGACTTTTCCGCCAAAATCGCCTTGAGTGACGCGACTCTGTGGCCTCGGTGCAGTGCTGACGCAGACGAGTGCTTGGCGATCGGGTGGTGTATCAGGATCACCTCGAACTCAAATTACTGAACTCAACGATGAGGGAAGCTCAACGTCGTGGCTGCACTATCAAAGCGTCCTCCATAGACCTGTCAGCAAGCAATGGTTGCCAAGTCCCCCTGCAAATGAGTCGCGAGTATGCGTATGTCGGACGACGAGAACTCCCTGAAAATTTTTAGGGTACTAACGTCTTCGATCATCATAAAGCCTAGAGCTACTCTCCAAAATATGCGACGTTATATCCTGTAATTAATATCATACCCAAATAAAACAATATCATGGACTTTACGGGCTTTACCGAAAATGTATCCCCAGCTTTGCTTAAATAGCCAATACACAAATTAGCATTCGTAAAATTAAAATTTTGAAGTTTGACTGATCTAATATTAATTCTTCCAAATTTCGAGAAACTATTCTAGTTAACTACTGATGCAAATAACATTACGGTGCAGTGGTATCGCAAGATAACATAGATCACAGACTTCAGGTCATAGTCCAGTCTGCCCAGTCGATCTAGCTATGTCCGTCCGTATGTCCATCTGTCCGGATTTATTAACGCAAGGATCTCATAATATAATTTGAGCAAATCTTGTAGGTGATATGTTTATTTTAGAATAGTATATATATGTCAAGTATATCTTTTTTATAGCTATCACCACCTCCCCGCAACTATCTCATAGTTATAAATCAAGTAAATAATCCAAATTATGCTGTCCACCAATATAAGCCACATATTTATGTTTAATGTCATTTTGAGAATACACGAACATGTTATGATACAATAAGATCGACTGCTGAAAATTTTATAAAGATCGATTAAAAAACACAAAACAAAATGTGTTTTGCCTGCCCACGTGTTTGCGGCAGCTATGTGTACACACACATTTATGCGCGTGTGCTTCGAATTCTACCAACAGCATTGTAATTGTGATTGTATTGTTTTCTGTGCTGCTATTTGAATTCGTTTTTTTTTTTCAATAAGACTCAATTATTGGTGTGGCTGTTGAGTAGAGGCAGTGGCAAGTGGTGCGCTCTGTCGCGAGCTCGAGCCCTACCGAGGAAGCTATTTTTTTTGGCTGGTGTGGTTGTTAGATAGAGTCGGCAGCAAGTATTACTACAAACAAAGGCGCGAAGCGCGACCTGCACTTGGTGTTGGAATAAGGGGTATTCCATAGCCGGGAGCTCCCGACTAGAACCTTTTAGGTGTTTGTTTTGACAACTTTCAGAAATAGCTGTGTAAAACAAACCCCAAATTCTATTATAGACTATACTTCTAATAACTTTCAGGTATTTCTAGTATTGTATGAGGAAAATTATTAGGCTCGCGCAATGCCAGCCAATTTGCAACAATTGCACATATATGTATATATACATATAAGGAGAAAGTAAGGTTATCTTCGGTAGATTTAATACCTTTGCAGACATTTGCCTTGTGGTTTTGCAGATATGTGAGAATAGTGAAGCTCGTAAATGCTGAGTCTGATACAAATATTTTGCCGTACAACAACTAAATTTTCGACCGATCGTTCCTAACCCATAGAAAGAGGCCAGTTCGCATGTAAATAGACAGACGGACCACGCTATTGATGCTGATTGAGAATATATATTCTTTATGGAGTTGCAAATGTTTCTTTCTAAGGGCATAACAAATTAGAGTGTCCGATCCTCTTCTACCAACACCAAATCCAGATCTTTGCGTTTTAACCGATCTTGATGATCAGCAGTAGAAAAACATAATAGCATAAAAATTGTGGGTTTAATTAGTTGGTAGTTCCAATGGATTTACTTATTTAATCTATATCAATGAGCCGAGAGGCTGGGAGAAAGTTACTTGATTTATTTATACTATATATACATATGTTTATATACTATTATAGAAGCTGCACTAGTTCTTAAAACTCCTTTTAAGTATATAATTAATTTTTACATATATTCAATGAAAATATTTTTGGATTTTCCAACATTTATTTAAAATATGCTATGTATGCAGTCCTTTCTCTTACTCGCAATGCGCATGCTTGATGTCGAGGAAAAAGAAGTAAAACAAGATTGAACCAATTTCATAGAAACTTACGTGACGAAAATTAAAGTATCAAATGTCGGGATAAAAACATTTGTCACATATCATAAAATGATTGAGTCGCAAAGCTTTCGAATCGTACTCTATACTGTGTATATTTGTAAGTTAGTTATTATGCAAATGAAGTTTTTTCTTCATGTTCTTGTTGTGTTTATATGCATAAGATATAATATGACAAAAATTTATAAAAATATGCCTATAGTACTTTCTAGATTAGCACTATGCCAGCGCGAGCATTATGGGTCAAAAATTAATATGACGGACATGCTTATGCTGGGAGAGCAAGTCAATGGTTTCAATTTTAATGAGGAACCATTAGTCAAGTACAGAGGACCCTATTTTGATACAACTGCAACAAAAAATGTAACATCTCTGGTTGGTAAAACAGGACATCTGAACTGTCGCATCAAAAATCTCGGCAATAAAACGGTGGGTTATTATTGAATACGAAAGTAATTTAAATAAACGTTCTGAAAATTAAAGGTATCTTGGATAAGACACAGAGATTTACACCTCTTAACAGTATCCGAAAGTACGTACACATCGGATCAGAGATTTAATGCAATCTACAATAAGCAAACTGGTGACTGGTCATTACAGGTACGTAAAATGTTGCAATTTTGCATTGCAATCGTGCTTCATTTTAAATTAAATAGCTTGTAAAACTCTAAAACTGTCAGATACTTGGCAATTAAAACAAGCTTTATACAAATATTCAGTTTTTAAACACAGATTACTGTGAAAATTTTAAAAAATTGCAGTTATTGTTAATTATTATATTTAACAAAACAAATTGTTTTTTTTTTTTAAATTTACACTTTCTTTATGGCCCTAATCCTATGTCTCAGAAATAGAAGGACAGAATTGTATGTGAGTTTTTGTTTGCGTTGCCAGGCAATTGATAAAAATCTATATAGAAATTATCTTCTTTGATCTTGTATCCTTTGTTTTCTCGCTATTTGTTATAAAATTGTTTTTAGGGCTAAAACCGCCTTTAATAATTTTTTTTTACTTTTCAGATTAAATATCCACAAATCAGAGATTCTGGGGTTTACGAATGTCAGATATCGACGACACCTCCAGTTGGATATACCATGATCTTCTCTGTTGTGGGTACGTTCTTTGATGGAAAAGCTTCTATTAATAATAGACATTTAAACAACAAATGCTTAAGCCTCTAAAATCAACGGAAAAACGATCGGACTAGCAGACACACCGACAGTAAGACGGACATTTTCAGAAATCAATGAACCCTTTTCAATTTGTGATCCCATTGGGTGCGAATAAAGCTTATAGCGGTTCCCCGTCTTCGGATTATGGCTACTGTGGAAATACCTGACACTTTTAAGAAAGATTACAGCTCACTTATTATTTACATTATTACCATCAAACTAACTTCGATTGAAATAAAAGGAAATTATCTTTACAGAGCCAATTACAACTATTCCTGGAGCTCCAGAATTATACATTGATTTGGGATCTACAGTTAATTTAACTTGTATTGTAAAACATCTTCCTGACCCTCCACTTATGGTTCACTGGACTCACAACAATCAGGTAAGTGTAAGCAAAATATTAAAGATGCAACTTTAACAACTCGGTTTATCAACCGATCCAATTGTGCTAATATTAGAGGCCAAAAATCAAATTAGACTTAACGGATTCATTGATAACCCGACCCAATCTAACCATACCCGCCAATCTGCTCGTCAATAGTGGCTACTACAGGACGTGAAAATTCAATTATATTTTATAGCGGTTTATATGTTTATCGGGTATGGACCCTCCACTAGTCGGACATTTTCAAATGGAGCTCTCTTAATTGTCACAGTGTTATTTTATTCCAAGCTTCTCACAAAGTTACCTCGTTTAGTAAATTCTATAGATTTTCCACATTAATGAAGAGTTAACCTTTTCAGGAAATAAACTATGATTCGCCAAGAGGAGGGGTATCTGTTATAACCGAAAAAGGCGACATAACGACTTCTTATCTGCTAATACAGCGTGCTCAAATATCTGATTCTGGCAAGTATTCCTGCTTGCCGTCAAACGCTAATTCCAAATCAGTTTACGTTCACATATTAAATGGTAAAACGCTTTTGTAAACAATTTTCTCTCATAATATTAATATTCATGGTATTTGCTTTAAATAGGTGATCACCCGGCAGCAGTCCAAGGAGCGAGCTTAATCAGAAGCTTAAATTTGAATGCTTTAATATTATTAATAATATTCGCACATCTTTAAGCTCGAAGCTCAACATTTTATTTAAATTTGTAAATATAGTTATTCAAAGAACTCATAAAAAAAAAATAATCAAAAACAATAAATAAATAAGTGACCAATTTAAGAAAACTAAAATCAATGACTTACTTTATTAAACAAACAACTAAAGTGTTTAACTTCGAGAGCTTTGATAATGTCGGCTGATCCTATTTTTATCCAGATTTAAAAATTCCAGATTTAAAAATTCCATCAAAAAATGTTGAAGTTAAGCAGTCAGTTCACTTTTCAACAGAACAAGGATCCGAAGAAATCTGCCCATTATATGCGAGTTGTGGCTAGCATACAATACGGTTCATGTTCTTCCACATCCTGCTCAATCTCCGGATCTCTATCCAATCGAGCACATATGAAAGGAGCTGGAGAAAAGGCTGAGAAAGCATACATTTTCAACGAAGACTGAGCTTAAAGAAGTCCTAAAGGAAAAATACCACAAGATTAAACCAAATTTTGCCCGAAAATGGGTGCCAAATCGCCTAGAAAGTATTATAAAGCAAAAAGTCTTGCCGACTTATATTAATTTTTATCTCTTGTTTTTTAATTTGAATACAATTGCTTAAGTTTTTGCCAATAATTTTGGCCCCATGAAAATTTGCATATTTTTTGTTTTTTATCTGTAAGGCTTGAAGCAACCAACAATGTTTCCCATTTAAGTTGAAATATGTTAGATTTATAAAAGAACACAATATATATTTTGAAAAAAATAACAAGTTCTTTGTTAAGTTATTTACGTTGAGAGCCGTGTTCTTACCAACTTTTTTGTAATATAATATATAATAATATATATAATAATATAACACATGCTTACATATTTTTAGTTGCATTATCTTCTTGTTTCCAATATTTGGTAATGGCAGATTTAATCACCACTAAGCAAAAATGTTATGCAAAGGGAATTAAATGTATCTTCGGCTAGCCGAACGCCGTTTATTATTGTATGTGCAAAGCTTGAAGGATTATTTTTCCATACAACTTTTTTTTTTTTAAGGTTTCATGATTAAGGTATCATATATCAACAATTATCGGTTCTTGATGCTGATACACAATATACATATATATATATATTTTATTTTGATGCGTTACACATTTCATGAAAAAGTATATTAACCTCCTCTAGGGTATAAAAAGGTAGGGAATAAAATATGTTATTCGATATACTCTCATTTACTTGAGGAATAGAGTATGAAAGAGGGCGTGTCTATTTCAGTCATCCAAAGCAATGAAAGAGATGCCGATAGCACAGACCAGACAAGAAAATATTCTTACTACATTTTCACTCAACTTTAAGAAACCGGATTTTGTCTAAAGACTTGAGTAAAATTACGACATCGACGTTATGAATGGGAGTAGTAGTTGCGGGCCAGGTGCCTGCACCTGTTCCGTCCAGAAGTGGAAGTGGATCTGTTGAGTGTAACTCGGTAAGCAACTTTTTAGTGTCGACTTGCAGGTATGACCAGAGAGAGAAAGAGAGAAAGCGAGAGAGTGAGACGGAAAGAGTGCAAAACGTAAGAAGCACAAGCAAGTTCTGACAATGATCCTGAGAAATAGCCGCTCACACTGAAATTCATTCAAAATACCCTAGGTAAAACTCTAATTGCCACTCAAGAAGAGTACAATATAATGCAACGGCAACGGCAACAGCAGCAGAAAAAACTAAAGGGACTGAAGAATATTGAGGTAATGATAACAAGCCGCTCGCTCACCTCACAATGCAACAGGTGACGGACGCCAAAACGGTCTTCCTCTTGGGGAGAAGAAGTCAAGTTGCTACCTGTTAATACATAAATACATATGTATGTACATCAAACGATGCCTACGAGCAACGAATAAAGGTAGTACATACACACATATGCCACAGTGCCCAAACGTGAGCAGGTGCTCGTGCCCGTGCCAGAGCGTTCAAGACGAGTTTGTTTGAGATCAATTGATAGCCGTAGCGTTGTGTTATGTTGATCTTGTTTTGGTAACGTAGTGGAGCATTGAGTTAAATGAGCCTGACTCTTAATTTTGCTGGATGGCCGCTGGTCTTGTCCGCGAGACGACTTTTAGTATGTGTATGCTTGTGTGTCTTCTGAGTATGTTATGTCTGAATGGTATTGGTATTTTAAGTGTTTGCAGTTTTTCTTCAAGAAGGTCATGGCCGATTCAAGCGATCCTGATCACGCAGTATTTGTTGAGCATTGAAAGAAATGGGTGCGGAGATTCACTGTTAACAATAAAAATTAAAATACAAATACAAATAAAAATATAAATAACAATCTACATTGATCGACTACTGTAAAAAGCCTAATGAAAACTGTTTTCCAAAATGGAATTATGCGTTTTAATACCAAAAGAGTTTTCCTTAACAAAGTTATCCTTGCCGACTAACATCGAATCTGTTTTAACCGTGTGTGCAACAACTAATATCAAAAGGGGAACTTTATTTTATCCGTTTCATGGTACTATTCGTACCGACAAAATAGAAAACTTAAAATATCCTGATGAAAATGATGTAAGTGTACTATTTCTTATTATAGTAAATAACTTATCTGAAAAAGAACTAAATAACCCGATTAATGAATTAATAATATAAATTGTGAATAAATTGCGTTGTGAGTTGTGTGATTTTTGTAAAACAATTATAATTATCAAGGGTATTAAAATTGATTGAAAACAATTGTATTCATATCCTGATTAGTATCAGTATCCGGCCTTTTAGTTTTAAAGTCATCTGTTGTAGGCAGTGCACGGTCGAGAATAAACTCGTCTTTTTTGATAATATCTTAACCGAAATTACATTTATTTGTTTATAAATTCAGCAATTTTGAGCTTTATAATTCTCCTTGAAAATCTGCCAAACTGTTACGCAGCGAAAATTTCGACGATCAAATTTATTTTTATTAAATCATTAAGATTATTTCATGTCTCTTAGCTTAAATTCAAAGCTATTTTGGCTGTATATTAAGCATTTAAAAATTACTTTTGCATTTTATACATTTTGCACTAATAAAATGTGAGTCCAATATAGAGCGGCGTCCTTCGTTCTCTTCGTAAAAGTGGGTCACAACAGGAAATAACAGCTTTCTTCTTGGTGCAAGAAATGTAAAACGAAAAATTATATAGCATGTATATGTTTTATGTATTTTAACTGGCGTGCCTGCTTGCCTGTCTAATTGTGCAGTAGCAGTAGTAGGTAGTCGACGTTGGAGTCGGGTTTTTAACCTACCAATTACGTCTTTGCTCCTGACGTATAAATACAATCTTATCAACATCGATATATGTACATCGCATAGTTTAAAAATGAACGACTGCTCAAAAAATGAGCTTTAGCAAAAATGTTCTCTTATACCCTGTATCCCAATAGTGCACTAGTAAATTGTTCGATAAATAATTTTTGATTTGCTGCATTTGGTGTTGGTAGTAGAGGGTTCAGGGTATCTTCTAGTCAAGAATTTGCGATTAGAGTCTCTTACTTGTTTTTTCTTGAAGCTTACTTCTTGGTATGAATGTGGAGTACGAGGCAGTGGCAAGGCTGTGTTGTCGGTTACGGGCTCAAGTCCAATTGAGGGAGCTTTTGCGTTTTAAAATTTATTTTTATAACTGCTGGAGCAAACGAGCTCCTAGCGCGAGCTGCATTTGGTGTTCGTAGTAGAAGGCTTTGGGTATCCCCTAGTCGGGAACTGCCGACTATATATATATATATATAGATAAAACTGTTTGTCCTGACTACTGATTAGTGATTAACCCAAAATCGTAACATTTTTTATTTCGAATCGAATCGAATCGGGTTCAAACATATTTTTAAAGAACTTTGTGAAAAGCTATTTTGTATGTTTTCGCAAAACTCGCCGCCCTTGGATAAGATGGGACTTTTCGCGCTTTTCTTTGTGTACAATATTCAAACTTCAACTAGAATATAATTACATTAGTCACCATCCGACTACTGTTGCTACTAGAAGCACAATCATTTGATATAAAATTATTATGATTTATCTTGCGAAAATTTTAATTTGCGCCGCTTTTAAGCTATCGATAAGAGTCGATACAAAAATCCAGTTTTTTAAGCGAATCTCTTAGGTTTTAAGAGCCAAATACGCAACATTTTATATGTAGCTTCTATAATGGTACATATTAATTAAATATCTTTCATTATTTAGCTATCCACATTTTTCTGCAAAGGCAAAGAAAACAAGCGCGTAACGCGATTTGCATGTGATGTTGGTAGAAAGATGTTAAAGATAGTTCTTTAATGTTAAAAGTTCTTTTATCTGAAAATCTTAATTTTTAACAGTATTTTTAAAAGCGACTTTGGGCATGAGCATCTTAGCCAGGACATACTACAAATTTGCTCAACACCTGCTTAATTGATTTGGTAGTTGTCAGTTACCGTGAGGGGGTTCCCTTGCCAATCTCAATTTAAGATGCAAGCCACTTTAACTGCGGTGACGACTAGACCTAAGTACATTCACAAGGAGCCATAGCTTGCTTTACATTATAAGAACATGTATTACGCATCGTTGCCTCAGAAATGTTTTTGGAAAGAAATGCTTCTGAATACTTACATATGTATCTAGTGTGAACGATTCAGCCCCTCTCTGAATTTTTCTCAGGCTTGCCGTAAGTAACTGCTGAAGCGTTAAAGAAAACTGTGAGAACTTCTTGAAAATATCTGGAGTCCGTCTTCAAGACTTCCCAGCGTCATGGGAGAGTGATCACCCTATTGACTCTTAGAGAAAAATTATAGCATTAAATTCGTCGCAATCATATATATGTTTGTGTTAGTGTCTTCTTCATTTTATATATATGCTCATGCATACATTTTGTTGCTCAAAACATTATTTTTTATTAAAAAGAAAAACAAAAGATTAATAATATATACCTATACATAATATGTTGGATATAAATAATTAAATCCAATAAAAATTTAAGTTCGGCTTTAGCCGTAACTTTTCTGAATGAGATAAAGCAACAACAAGTTAATAAAAGTATATATATATGTACTTATATATATATGAACAGATCGAGAAGAGCCTTCTGATAATGGGTTTAAAGATCTAAACTAAAGGGCAATACATTTCAGTGGGGATAGTTATTGAAGAAAATATATTTTCACAATTTGTTGTTCATTCGACATTTTAGCCGGCTATTTTCCAAATATCTTATAAAAGCCGACTTTACACAAAAGTTCTCAGAAGTTATAGAAGTTTCCAGTCAAGTGCAGAGCAATAAAAGAAAAACATTTTTTTTATATTTAAAAACTTAACGTTAGACAATAACTTTAGATATATATAAATAATTATATATATAATTATATAATTAATTATATTTATATATATTCTTGACAAGCATAAATTGACTAGTTAATAGAGTCTATCCGTCGGCGAATTTCAATGGAACTTGTCTCTCAGACTAAAAGCTAGCGTCTTGAAACTAAGTATAGGCCCGTCTTTCTGTTGCAAGCAGTACATATGTATATCGGAACTTGCCAGATCGGACCACTACATTATACAGTGGATGAATATCATTTTTAATTTTAATAATATCTACACAAAACTCGGCATTTATTAATTTCACTATACCCTTTATATAAATGCAAAATCTTTAAACTCGACAAACTCGACAGGTAATCACTATGCTCTTTGCATCATAACTCGGTCAAAACTCAATTGGTTTTCATAAGTTTTTTGTTCATGGTTTAAGCCGTAGATCTTTGGTCTTTGTTCATTGTTTAGAAATTTATTTGAGCCCAAAACATAATCCACCAAATCTTGAACCCCGATTTCCACCAAGAAACACCCCCTTAAAATTAAGCTAACCAGATCTCTGAAAATATTGTTGAGGGCGATTGGATGGCAACGATTGCGGGGGGAATTCTAACAACCCCATCTTAGCTTGCGCCTCTATCATATAAAGTAATAAATTTTTTGGTACCTAAGGAAGTGAACCAAAAAATTTAAACATATATATGGATGGAATATAAGTCCAAAATCTTGAAAGCATTTGGAATAGAAGCAGACCCACAGTCGTTATTGCGTTCATTACTTTAAATTTAATATATGGATATATATTTTGTTTTCATATATTTCAGCTGAGGCATCGGCACGGCTTGTATCATGAAGTTTCATACAATAATGGAACTTGTGTGATCCACTGTAATTGGATACGATTTCTTAAGATTGCGGGCACGTTTGACCGTAATGTAAATCTTATTTGCTCGATGGTTAAAGGGGATCCATTGTATGAAGTTATTAAGCCAGTTAAAATTAATCAGGAATTAGTGGTTTATTACATACCAGAACGCCGGGAAGATAATCTATTTTCGACTGTACGTTCGACGCTTTATAGGAAAGCTATGGACGCCATTCTACAAGGTATACCTTTGCAACTTAATTTAAAACCTGTTTCTAATTTGTATTTTACTTTTTCAGACAGTCCTCTTGATTTGTCTTTAGCATTAATGTATAAAATACCAAATTTGCCACTATCTCCGCCGATTAGTGAAGATGAACAAAAGTCTGTGCTGAGCGATTCTTCTGGATCCTTATTATCACTGGTTGACAGTACAACTGACAACTCAACCACATCATCAACATCGATGGACGAAATAAAGGACTTTACTGCAATCTCTCCTAAAAGAAAAATCAATATTGAAAGTTACAAATATGGAGGATCTAGAAAACGTATGGGAAAAAATGAACGACCTTTGCTACCTTGTGAAGTCTGCAGAAAAGCCTTCGACCGGCCAAGTCTACTTAAAAGACATATGAGAACTCATACGGGTACTTTTTTTGCTATAATTAATTACACATTCGCCTAGCTAAGATTTCTTACATTTTTTTTTGTTAGCGATAGGACGAGAGCAAGAAAAATTAGCTTTATCGGAAACTAAAATCTTGGCTTTTACGAATATTTGGTACCACATTGACTACAATCTTTTAGTCGATGTCATAAGATAAGATTAATTAATGCTTTGGTGATTTGGAATAATATTTACAATTCATTAATATCTAAATATTACTTAATCGCCATTTAGTCTTTCGTTTTACTTAATATTTTTTCTATTAACAATATCCCGGTTTTCACAGGTGAAAAGCCACATATTTGTATGGTTTGCGGAAAAGGATTTAGTACTTCCAGCTCTTTGAATACTCATAGGTACGGCTACATTATAAAATACTCAGCGAAAATATTATCTTAAATCCTTAAAAAAAAAATTATAGGAGAATTCACTCCGGGGAAAAACCGCACGAATGTCCAGTGTGTGGAAAAAAGTTTACCGCCAGCAGCAATTTATATTACCATAGGATGACACATATTAAGGTAATTTTTTAAATACTATTTTTTTATACCCTGAACCCAGTGGAACTCTGTAACAGGCAGAAAGACGCATCTCCGAACCCATAATGCATATATATTACTGATCAGCATTAAAAGCCGGGACGCTCTAGCCATATCCGTCTGTCTGTCCGTCCTTCCAGGTGTCCGTATTTATGAACGTCCTCCTAGTGCACGCCCAGTGTGCGATTGTTTCCGATAATCGATAACTTTTGTCTGTGTAAAGGCTTTTACATCATCCGATGAGAAATGCGGTGAAAGCCTAGAAAAAAATGTTTTTCCTGTGACAGAGGGCACACCTTCCAGCGCCCGCTTTAAATTTAATGGTTCCTGGTACTTTACTACTACTTTTAGCATAGAGATATCTTCCAAGCTGTGGGAATATTTGTAGGTTTATTTTTATTTAATTATTATTCATAAAAATAGTTTTATAGTAACAAATCAATATTTAATGAATATATGTGTTAATTTTATATGCTTTCTCAAATAGGAAAAACCGCACAAGTGTAATTTATGCGCAAAGTCATTTCCAACTCCTGGTGACCTAAAGTCCCACAAGTACGTTCACAGTGGATCATGGCCGTTCAAATGCTCAATATGTTTCCGCGGTTTCTCAAAGCAGACAAATCTGAAGAATCATTTATTTCTGCACAGTGGTAAGTTTTATTAAGAGTGTATTTTTATATATTTGGCATATGTTTATTCTTAGTACGCATGAAAAGGAACAAAAAATATTTAAATGATTGTCCTGAAGATATGTATAGTTCGAAACCTTAAAGATAAAATACGCTTGCAGACATACATTAATAAATCTGATGTTCCTATAGAAGCTAAATGATATAGTAGTCCGATATCAGAAACATTTTGCGGAAACTTTTATTTGTTTAAGACATCAGAATATTATGACCGATCGATGCTTTGGCAGCATATTTTGATAGTAGCGGGTAGTCCTTTATAAACCAATCTCCTTGTATAGTACGACGAGTTTTTGATGGTACCATGACTTCTCGTAAATTTTTCGATTTGGATGACGGATCGGCGTTTCAATATGTAATGCGTTATGATGACCGGGCTACAGAGCAGAGTGTAAGGCCCCAGCTTCAGGCCAATTGCCACCCGAGCTCTTTACCTGTTTGATGAGGCTTCTCCTAATTCTCAGCAGCAAGAATGACCGTCCTGACTTTAATGTTCAACCAGTCCTAGCAGACCTAGTTAACATTGTTCTGTTTTCTCTTAAATTATCTTGAAACCTGCTGTGAGTCTTTGCATTTTAGTTTTGTCTCCCTGTTTGACCGCACTTTTCTCCATCTCTTATAATCTGATTCATTTTTATGATCTTTGCTTTATCTTTTATATTTCGCAATAGTTCATAGTCCCCTTTATATGGTTTTTGCGTTTGCTGTAAACCTTTGTTATGTGGCTCTTCCTCTTCCATTATAGCAGTAATGCCCCATACCCTATCGAACTAGCATCAAAATGTAGTTAAGTTTCTCCTTTGAATATAGCTTACATCGGCATTTCAAGTAACTCTCCAGTGTTTAATCTTAACGTTTGGAAACCACAAACGTAAGTTGTTGGTGGTCCGTTAATATATTGATGTCTCATATCCTATAGAGGAACTGACGAAGCTTATCCAAGGTCCAATTCATCTTTCATTCTGGAGATCATTTGTATTTTCTTGCTCGTTTTGGGAGAAGACCGCCCCAGTGCCATTGGCTCAGGAACTCCCGACTAGAGCGTCTTACTTGCTTGTATCTTAATATAATGTGTTAACTTGAAGTGCGATTTGTGTTGAGTTATCCTTGTTTACCCTAAATCCACTTAAAATGTGTAAAAGGGTATAATGCTGTTGTGCAAATGTATGTAATAGGAAGAAGGAAGCATCTCCGGCCCCATAAATTATAAAAATTCTTGATCAGCATCAAAAACCGAGTCGATCTATCCATGTACGTCTGTCTGACGGTCCGACTGTCTGACCGTCCGTTCGTATGTATGATCGCGTCGATCTCAGAACCTATAAGAGCTAGAGATTGGAACGCAGGATATCCTAAGGCCCGCGCTTTACAAGTTTGTTTTCGATAATTGATAACTTTCCCCGTCTGCTAGCAATCGATACAGGTTTCCTGTTTTCTTAAGTTTTAATGACTCTAGCCCTAGAGTCATCACATTTGACAAGTAAAGCTATCATTTTATAACTATCGCCACCCCCTGCGGTGGCACATGTCAAATTTGGCGACTTTAGCGTTTAAAACCTCAGAGATTTGCGCAAAAAGCATTGTTTCGAGATCGATTTTCATCGATCTCTTGGAAACGGGGCACGTTATCGATTATCGGAAACAAGCACGTACTGTGAGGACACTAGGAGGACCTACGTTCCAAATTTCAATTCTCTAGCTCTTATGGGTTATAAGATCCTTGCGTTTGTAAATACGGACACACAGACATAAAAAAACAGACAGGTATAATAAAAAAACTTCTTTGAGCTTACATCTAAGTATAATTCGTATATTCTCTAAATGATTTTAGAATAAGTATACAAATTCTTTATTCGTTATGTCAGATAACTCATTTTGAGTAATATTTTAACAAAATATAGCACTAAAAAGTCAGGAAAAATCGAAGCTGACTCAAGTTTCAACGTTCTCGAAGTTGTGTGAGACGAGTGAGAAGGCGTGATCGGGGTTGCAAAGCAGAAGATGGCTTAAAAATTGAGATTCTTTTGCTGCAGCGTACGCATGCCATTTCTAGTGATTATATGGGGAAAAAATGAGACGACACCGTATCAAAATCTTCGGCAGCCTTTAAAACATTTTACGTTGGAACATATTCGATCCTATAAAGATGGTAAGTTGAAAATTTTCATGGGCATGCATGCTATATATAATTGTATATATATACATGTATTGAAGAACCCTGACGAAATTTGGCGCGCTAGAAAAATTGTAACAGACCGCAGTAGCGACTCTTGCAATTATATTCTATACGCTTATATTATTGTCTGTTACCTTGCGCAACTTCGCACCAAGCAAATTTTTTCTGATACGAAAAACACTTAAAAATTTCTTTTTACTTGGGCTTAAAAAGCTTTTTGCCTCCTGAAAGCAAATCGGTTAAATAAATACGCTCATTTACTTGCTGATAAAAATATTAGAGAAGACCTGTCAAAGAAATTTCTAGCATTGAAATGAAATGTTTGCAATGACATCCTCGAAAATATAAGTTCTTCCGGAAAACTTCCAGATTTCAAAATTTAAAAAAAAACCTGACCAGAGACAAATTAACAAAGGGATTTTTCTCCATATGGAAGACCATATGGATCTGAAAAAGAAGCTTAACTTTATTATTTTAATGCATATTTTTCTTATCCTTTCAGATTTCAATTTTAACGTATTTAGTATGTAATGTTTAGCTAATTCTATTTTCGAGAGAGTTTTGTGTCTTATGTAAATAATAATAAATTATATTAGATTTATTTATTTACTATTTATCAATTACAATAAATACTAAGAAATATTTAAGAATTGAGTGTTGGTGTTTCCGTTTGGGGTATGGGAGTTCTTTCCTTTAACTCTTTTGCTTAGAATGATATCTGGATCAAACGTGGTACTCGTTAGCTTTACTATGCGTCTTACATGTATGCGAAATTCTTCCCCCGTCGGAATATTGTATTATTATAAGAAACCCCTTTTACTTATAAAGATATCAAAACTAAACTCGTCAGGTTATTGTTTCACTATTCTATGAACATCGGACCACTATATCATACATCTGCCATAAGATCGATCGGTGACAAGTAGGTTCTTGTATGAAAAACCTTAAAAACTCATTGCTTTGATCGAAGCGGTAATAATTAAGTTACCTACTACAATCACAGGCCCGCCTTCTTGCAGCATCAGGATAGAAAAAACCATATAGAGGCATTTTTGAAAAGTTAATTGCAGACAATCGAATCCCGTGTAGATACTTCCAGCTAAGGTGGTTGTTAAGAGCTTAGGAGGGAGGAGACATTAAACTGCATTAGGACTATTTATAAATATGTAATTAAATTAAACATGCGGAGATCGACTCAGCTTTTGATACTCAGGCTTTGGGTGCTTCCAGTCACATATATTTGCAAAAGCACATTATTCCCTTTTTCCTCTTCAAGAACATCAGTAGCCGTGTCCGTCTGTCTGTCCGTCCTTCCGTATATCTGAACGCAAGGAGCTCAGAAGCTAAATGAAACGTCGGTCCTCCTAGTGCCCGCGCAGTACGAGGTTTTTCCCAAGCAATCAATAAAGCTAGACTCAATAAATTTGACTTGTAGCTTCTACAATAGGATATTTGATTACTGTTAATGCAAACGAGCTCGTAGCGCGGGCTGCATTTTGTGTTGGTTAAAGAGGGTTCAGGGTATCCACTAGTCGGAAACTCCTGATTACCCCATTTACATGTTTATTTCAGAGATAAATTAAAAATTGATAGGAATGCTTGCAATTGAATAGTGGTCGACATTTTGACTAGTCTCTTTCAGGTGCACACTAACAAAGTCATACATATATATTTTTACTTATTTTATACTTCTTTCTATATTCAGGCGACAAGCCACACGGCTGTGAATTATGCAAAAAGAAATTTGCCTTGGCCTGCAACCTGCGTGCACATATGAAGACCCACGATGGTAAGTCGCAATATTAATAATTTAATATAAGTATTTATATTATAATTTATATATTTCAATCCTAAATAATGGCATGCGTTCTTGAGGCGTAGATCTAGAACCACTAACCTTCTTGAGTTTACATCACCAGTAATTGATGGTTTTAAGAAGAGAATTCAACGTTTAGGTTTCGGTGCAGTGCTGACTGAGTGCAGACACAGTGTACGATCTTTGAGGTCTTGTATCCTACGTATTTTTGTTCGGGCTTGTATGCTCCATATTTGAATGGCGTAGCACCATATAACCGCCTGGATCTGCACATACATATATGATTGCCTTGCATCTAAAAGACAACCTGCTGGGGTGATCTAGAATTCATCTAATCCTGGTAATCCTTCCTCTTATGTGGATAGAAAAATGTGGGCGCTTGTCGACCGTGACACGCAGGCAAATGAGATCGAAGACTTGGATTATCAGATTGCCACTTTTAATTGTGAGGTGAATTGAGCAGCTCTTTGTCGGACTGAGGCGTACTTTTCAACGTTTTGCGCAGAAGTCGAGCTGGTCTGAATAATCCTTGGCGGACATGGCCAGATATAGTCGCAGATGCTGCCTCCTGCCTGTTACATTTGTAGCAATTTACTAATATTCAATGCGTTTAATATATAATTTCGAGCATGAGAGAGTAAGATTTGGCTCACTTATATATTTTCTATATTTCTTTATCTTTATAGGTGATCTACAGGATGAATGTGTTAGATGTGAAAAGCCGCTTATTGGAAATAGCATTAGTTTACAGCGGAATAAAACATGCGAAAAATGTCTAGATTTGGGCGATTCAGAAAATGATGAAAAGAAATTTGCATTACCAGCGAAACAAAGTATGGACACCGAAGAAGAAGCAGACTCTTCCATTGGCGCAACAGAGTTTAGTGACAAATAAATTTTAAGCTTCTTTTGTTGGGAGCATTTCGAACTAAATGAAAATTCATTATTAATCCCATAAATTAATAATGTCACCAAAAACTAAAAATGTTCTAAACTATTAAAAGAAATTAAACCTATTTATTTATAAAAATTATAATAAATATATTAATAAATATGTATTTATAAAATAGTAAAACTAAGCTGATATGAAATAAAGCACTCACAGAGTCAGCGTTTAGTGATAAAATACAGACAAATATATAGACTTCAAATCTTCAAAGAACTTTATTCCTCGTCGTTAAAAAAATTTAACTTTATTGATATCTCTCTCATCCCCCCCCCTCCAACCACAATAAGGTATATACATACATACATATATAAAATATATGGATTTTGTAAGTGATCTTCAACAAAGAATAACAAAAACAAAAACTATAAAAATTGCACAGAGTAGCCCCCCGCACTATATGTTTGTTACCGCAAAAACATCGGACGAATCACAAACAAAAAACACACCTGGCAATTAATACTTGAAAATAAGAAATTGCCGCATAAAAATAAGAATTAGCCACAAAATAGAGAAGGTACCAGACGAACCCGTTTACGAAGTACCCGTTGGAAAGTACTCGTTACATTTGGGTAATTGTTAATTACTTTGTACTCGAAAAGAATTTAGTGATACAAGTCACGTCCACATCCACATCCACATATGAGATATATTATAAAAATTATATATTTTTATATATATATACATTATTTTTGTGTCTTATTTTTCAATTTATTAATATAATTATTTTGTTATATATATGTATGCATGTGCATCCAATAATTCCAGTTAATACAAATAAATTATTATTTTGTACTTGCTTTTCGTTCCTTCTTGGAGTTTTTTCATCGTTCCAATTAATATTATTTGATTAATTAAAATAATTGTTTTCTCTGTTTATCCTTCGTTTTTTTAATACATAATAAAAATTGACCGATTTCATCACTCCAATTGAAAAAAAAACGAATGCTTCCAGATTGTTTGGTCACTTCCCCTTGTTCCTTTGCACACTGCGCTGTTTCTCCGCTGTTATCCCAGTCCGAGGCACTTTAGGAGCCTACTATGCCAAGTTATGGGGGTGGCAAATTTTGCCCAATGTCTATATTCGAGACTATATTGGGATTGAATTTCGACTAAGAAATCGGTGTTCAGATTTGAATGCCAGATGAATCTAGAGGGAAAATCATGAAGAAAAAGCCAAACCTTATGAAAATCGGTGGATATTTGACCAAGTTATGGGTGTGGGAAGTTTTGACCTATGTCGATATAGGATATTTGAGGGTACCATTTTGACATGAAATTTGACCAAAAATAATGTTGCCAGATTTGGATGCAGAATTGATAATGAGGCCAAATCATGAACAAAAATCCAAACCTTATGAAAATCGGAGGGTATTTGACCAAGTTATGGGTGTGGGAAGTTTTGACCTATGTCGATATAGGATATTTGAGGGTACCATTTTGACATGAAATTTGACCAAAAATAATGTTGCCAGATTTGGATGCAGAATTGATAATGAGGCCAAATCATGAACAAAAAGCCAAGCCTTATGAAAATCGGAGGATATTTGACCAAGTTATGGCTGTGGGAAGTTTTGACCTATGTCGATATAGGATATTTGAGGGTACCATTTTGACATGAAATTTGACAAAAAATAATGTTGCCAGATTTGGATGCATAATTGATAATGCGGCCAAATCATGAACAAAAAGCCAAGCCTTATGAAAATCGGAGGATATTTGACCAAGTTATGGGTGTGGGAAGTTTTGACCTATATCTATATAGAATATTTGAGGGTACCATTTTGACATGAAATTTGACCAAAAATAATGTTGTCGGATTTGGATGCAGAATTGATAATGAGGCCAAATCATGAACAAAAAGCCAAACCTAATGAAAATCGGTGGATATTTGACCAAGTTATGGGTGTGGGAAGTTTTGACCTATGTCGATATAGGATATTTGAGGGTACCATTTTGACATGAAATTTGACCAAAAATAATGTTGCCAGATTTGGATGCAGAATTGATAATGAGGCCAAATCATGAACAAAAATCCAAACCTTATGAAAATCGGAGGGTATTTGACCAAGTTATGGGTGTGGGAAGTTTTGACCTATGTCGATATAGGATATTTGAGGGTACCATTTTGACATGAAATTTGACCAAAAATAATGTTGCCAGATTTGGATGCAGAATTGATAATGAGGCCAAATCATGAACAAAAAGCCAAACCTAATGAAAATCGGTGGATATTTGACCAAGTTATGGGTGTGGGAAGTTTTGACCTATGTCGATATAGGATATTTGAGGGTACCATTTTGACATGAAATTTGACCAAAAATAATGTTGCCAGATTTGGATGCAGAATTGATAATGAGGCCAAATCATGAACAAAAATCCAAACCTTATGAAAATCGGAGGGTATTTGACCAAGTTATGGGTGTGGGAAGTTTTGACCTATGTCGATATAGGATATTTGAGGGTACCATTTTGACATGAAATTTGACCAAAAATAATGTTGCCAGATTTGGATGCAGAATTGATAATGAGGCCAAATCATGAACAAAAATCCAAACCTTATGAAAATCGGAGGATATTTGACCAAGTTATGGGTGTGGGAAGTTTTGACCTATATCTATATAGAATATTTGAGGGTACCATTTTGACATGAAATTTGACCAAAAATAATGTTGCCAGATTTGGATGCAGAATTGATAATGAGGCCAAATCATGAACAAATAGCCAAACCTAATGAAAATCGGTGGATATTTGACCAAGTTATGGCTGTGGGAAGTTTTGACCTATGTCGATATAGGATATTTGAGGGTACCATTTTGACATGAAATTTGACCAAAAATAATGTTGCCAGATTTGGATGCAGAATTGATAATGAGGCCAAATCATGAACAAAAAGCCAAACCTTATGAAAATCGGAGGATATTTGACCAAGTTATGGGTGTGGGAAGTTTTGACCTATGTCGACATAGGATATTTGGGGGTACCATTCTGACATGAAATTTGACCAAAAATAATGTTGCCAGATTTGGATGCATAATTGATAATGAGGCCAAATCATGAACAAAAATCCAAACCTTATGAAAATCGGAGGGTATTTGACCAAGTTATGGGTGTGGGAAGTTTTGACCTATGTCGATATAGGATATTTGAGGGTACCATTTTGACATGAAATTTGACCAAAAATAATGTTGCCAGATTTGGATGCAGAATTGATAATGAGGCCAAATCATGAACAAAAATCCAAACCTTATGAAAATCGGAGGATATTTGACCAAGTTATGGGTGTGGGAAGTTTTGACCTATATCTATATAGAATATTTGAGGGTACCATTTTGACATGAAATTTGACCAAAAATAATGTTGTCGGATTTGGATGCAGAATTGATAATGAGGCCAAATCATGAACAAAAAGCCAAACCTAATGAAAATCGGTGGATATTTGACCAAGTTATGGGTGTGGGAAGTTTTGACCTATGTCGATATAGGATATTTGAGGGTACCATTTTGACATGAAATTTGACCAAAAATAATGTTGCCAGATTTGGATGCAGAATTGATAATGAGGCCAAATCATGAACAAAAATCCAAACCTTATGAAAATCGGAGGGTATTTGACCAAGTTATGGGTGTGGGAAGTTTTGACCTATGTCGATATAGGATATTTGAGGGTACCATTTTGACATGAAATTTGACCAAAAATAATGTTGCCAGATTTGGATGCAGAATTGATAATGAGGCCAAATCATGAACAAAAATCCAAACCTTATGAAAATCGGAGGATATTTGACCAAGTTATGGGTGTGGGAAGTTTTGACCTATATCTATATAGAATATTTGAGGGTACCATTTTGACATGAAATTTGACCAAAAATAATGTTGCCAGATTTGGATGCAGAATTGATAATGAGGCCAAATCATGAACAAAAAGCCAAACCTAATGAAAATCGGTGGATATTTGACCAAGTTATGGGTGTGGGAAGTTTTGACCAATGTCGATATAGGATATTTGAGGGTACCATTTTGACATGAAATTTGACCAAAAATAATGTTGCCAGATTTGGATGCAGAATTGATAATGAGGCCAAATCATGAACAAAAAGCCAAACCTTATGAAAATCGGAGGATATTTGACCAAGTTATGGGTGTGGGAAGTTTTGACCTATGTCGATATAGGATATTTGAGGGTACCATTCTGACATGAAATTTGACCAAAAATAATGTTGCCAGATTTGGATGCATAATTGATAATGAGGCCAAATCATGAACAAAAATCCAAACCTTATGAAAATCGGAGGGTATTTGACCAAGTTATGGGTGTGGGAAGTTTTGACCTATGTCGATATAGGATATTTGAGGGTACCATTTTGACATGAAATTTGACCAAAAATAATGTTGCCAGATTTGGATGCAGAATTGATAATGAGGCCAAATCATGAACAAAAATCCAAACCTTATGAAAATCGGAGGATATTTGACCAACTTATGGGTGTGGGAAGTTTTGACCCATGTCGATATAGGATATTTAAGGGTACCATTTTGACATGAAATTTGACCAAAAATAATGTTGCCAGATTTGGATGCAGAATTGATAATGAGGCCAAATCATGAACAAAAATCCAAACCTTATGAAAATCGGAGGATATTTGACCAAGTTATGGGTGTGGGAAGTTTTGACCTATGTCGATATAGGATATTTAAGGGTACCATTTTGACATGAAATTTGACCAAAAATAATGTTGCCAGATTTGGATGCAGAATTGATAATGAGGCCAAATCATGAACAAAAATCCAAACCTTATGAAAATCGGAGGATATTTGACCAAGTTATGGGTGTGGGAAGTTTTGACCTATATCTATATAGAATATTTGAGGGTACCATTTTGACATGAAATTTGACCAAAAATAATGTTGCCAGATTTGGATGCAGAATTGATAATGAGGCCAAATCATGAACAAAAATCCAAACCTTATGAAAATCGGAGGATATTTGACCAAGTTATGGGTGTGGGAAGTTTTGACCCATGTCGATATAGG